ATCAGCTCCTCCAGGAGCTCCTTAACTATTTCAGAACTAACCGTAGGCAGACTGGTGCCACATGGACATCCATCAATGATCAAGGTGGGGGAATTGGCTTGGTTGGTATATAGAAATGCTGAAGCGAAGAACTCATTGAAGAGCTCTGCTTTTTTCCCTGCGTTGACCACCAACTGTCCTGATTTGTCCTGCAGGGGCCTTATGTTGCTCTGAGCTTTCCTTTTGCCTGAAGAAGGACTTTTTATTGTCCTTGATTGTTGAAGCCAGCCTGAGCTCAAGCCCCGCCTTGGCCTGTCTAACTGATTCCCTGCAATAGCATGCCAAGGAGATATATTCCTCCTTGGTGGCTGCCCCCTGCTTCCATTGCCTATACATCTCTTTCTTTGCCCCCAGACTCTCCTGGAGTTCCCTGTTCAGCCAAGGGGGCTTTTTTGCCCCCTTACCTCCCTTCCTACATAATGGGATAGACTCCTTTTGAGCCCCAAGGATCACTCCCTTGAGATACCTCCAACCCTCCTGGACCTCCATATGCTCTATGTTCTCGAGTTGCATCCCTTCACTAACTAGCCTTCTAAGCTTGCTAAAGTTGGCCCTTCTGAAGTCCAACACCTTAGCCCCACTAGTTACTTTACGCACCCTTCTCTGGATAGTGAACTCGACCAAGTGACGGTTCGTTATATACAGCCTGCTAAATCAGGGAGGATCATTTTAGGAAGAGAATAACATTTTTGCTTTGATAAACCTGTTGCATTAAGATACAGGAACCAGTCTTCTGATTTTCATAATTTAATTTCCTTTGAGTAAGTATTGCCTTCCCCCATCCTCTTCTTCCTTAAGATGTCAGATACATTTTTCATAGGAAGCAATGTATCTCAGGAAATATTAAAAACGGTAATGGGAAGGGCACGTGAAGAAGGGAGGATTAGCAACATTATCACCTAAGCAGTTTGAATGAGCTGTAGCATTCTGATACTGGTAGCAAAGAGGCCAGTAATCTCATGATTCTGCCCAATGCCAAGTCCATTAAAAGGTCTTAATGAAAGGACAAGCCATCCCTCTAACTGTCCACACTAGGAATCAACAAGAGTGATCTTGCTAAAGGAAGATTGGAACATAGGGAACAGGAGCTTGACATTCTTGGTGTAGGAAGCTCAACTCTGGCATTCATTTCCTACTGTTGTAACACAGGTAGAATCTATTGATGTTCATGATGTAATTTTTCCCTTGAGGTTTCAAACTGATTCCTGGATCAGCTGGCTAGTTTCATGGTATTGGTAGCTCCTTAGATCAGTGGCTCCCAACCTTTTTTTGCTGCGACCCTAAATTCAGGTTGCAACCTCCACCCCTGCCACCAACTCACTCATGCCTGGCAGTGTCAACAGAGCCCAGGCTGGGATTGTGGGGGGCAGCAGCAGAGCGAGCCATGTGGACTGTGCACCAGGAGAACCCCACAGATGGGAGGAGTGGAGCAAGGAGCAGACCCCCACGACCCTGATTTGGGTCACGACCCGAGGTTGGGAGCCACTGCCTTAGATCCAGCTGATACACATCATGCTGCATGCATTTTTCCCACTGTACCTTTCCCTATTAACAATTGTTGTAGCATCACAGATGGCAGAGGTGGTGGCTAGGCAATTACAAATCGGACAAGAAGTTAGCCACTAGAAGATTTTGCTATAAACATGTGGAAAGTCTTGGAAATCCTATTTTATCTCAATAATAAGCCTGCCAGGGATTAGTGTGGTAGCTTAGTTCAGAAATTCTCTCTTCTTCCTACTGGGCATAACCTTTCTAACACAGTGCTTTGTGTAACTGGGGCATTTAAAAACACTGTGGCCATTGTTCTCCTGCAGCATTTTTGGCTGTGTTTTTGTATCATAGGTCATTAACACTGCTTACTACAGGGGGGTTAATTGCCAAGTACTTTTCAAAAGTAAAAATTTCCCCTGAGACATGTATTTCAATATAAAATGTTACTGTAATCTTTATACCTTCATCAGATCTTACTCTT